TACTTCTTCTTTGATTCATTCTTATTCCACCACTTTTCATAAGTGCTTACTGCTTGTTTTTGGAGTTAAATTTCGAATTTCATGTTTCATTGTAGGCAAAAAGGCGGCTGCATTACCTCAAGCCAGAAATGATCTAAAAGGTGATTACTGTGAATTTGAACTCGTTTTAATGGCACAATTTCTGAATTAATTGGAATATTTATTTGAAGTTTTTTACTGCAAATATTTGCTTATGGTAGTTTGCAGTATATTTGTTAATGTTCATCCTAAACGGAATTTATTAGCCTCATTGACGATGTTAGCAAAAGTATTTTAGCGTTAGAGATACAAATCAAACTATCACTGAACCTTCTGTATGAACTGCAGATAGTGGTACATTGTAGTAACACCGACTAACATTTCAGCAGTAATGACAAGCACGATTCAGTAGTATAATAGTGTGGTTGAAATGTACAACAGTCACGCACAAAGACACAAGAGTAAGAAAGGAAAGAATGAATGAAGTATTTATGGAAGGGAAAGATTTAGTATGTGAACTATGATGACTAACTCGTTGGTTAACGGTAGAAGATCGATTAGAGTAAACAGCCTTTCCCTCTACTGACAGCTCAAGCCATCTACTCCATACTTAGTTCCTTTCAACCAAACGTAATCTGCTATTGCTATGCCCAGCTTTATGATCTCAGTTATGAAAATATGACATGTGCTCACTTAGTTCAATTTCTTGCATCAGTTCCATTTCTTAACCGCTACATTGTTCATTGTCAGGTTCGAAGTAGCTGCAGTCAATTACCAAAGTCTTTGGGTCTTCGTCAATGATACAGCTTTAGCTAAACCAGGATTGTTATACTTTATGTCGATTTGTGCTGAAAATGTCTAAATTTGAGAGGATTCGTAATTATTCTTGGCCTAGCTTCCTTTCAAGCTATTTCCAACCAGAATAATGTTACTTAAGTTTTAAGAATACCATTTAAACGAAATCAAGAAAGGAAGCGTTTTTTTTTCAGAGAAGACAAGGTAGCATCGAAAAGCATATGTGGTTACCAGCACAGTGTCAAAACTATCAGGAACATGTTAGCTCAGTGTACAGAAGTAGTGCAGTTATCACCTGCTGATTTCTTACATACATCGATGAACATTGACACGTTAGATGGGCTCTCAGGTATATTATAATTGTTGCTCTTTGGAGCCAGACTTAGAGGTAAGCTGCAATGTTTCATGACTGGACGTAGTCTGAGTACACTGTTTTTCACCAATCATCCGTCTTTTTCTCGGAAAGTATCAGTTGCCTTTCTCGCCTAGAACCTATTACAGCTCTGAAAATTATAGACGTCTGGTCATCTCCAAA